AGGCTGAAATTTCCCATCGATGCCCTGCTAACCTGATCGTCACATTGACTTTTGGATAAGACCTGCGTGGGACTTGCCCACCAAACCCTTCCACCTTCATGTCAACTTTACCACCTGTCTTCAGCTTCAACCTAGTTGCTAGACTCTCTGTTATGAAGGATCTCTGTGCCCCACTGTCGAAGAACAAACGGGTTGTTTCAGACTTCTTCCCATTCGTAACCACCGCCATTATGGTGGGCAAGGCCACCGAACCTTGAAACTGCTCACCAGAACAAATTCCCGGTGCAGCACTCACCACACTCATCACTACTTCAGACTTGTCCTTGCTCTCCGCCCTTTCTTGCGGTTTGCTCTTCTTAGCTTGTGCTGATCTGGTGTCATTAGGACACAGTGCACTGTGGTGCTTACCTTTCCGGCAGCCCCGACACTCATTGAGTTGGGCACTACAGTCCCTGGCAAATTGTTCTCCACAACACTTGAAACAAAATCTCAACTCCCTTAGTCGTTGAACCCTTTTGTTATAGGTGGTGAAGCTCAAGCACCCTGAACTAGCGTGTTCTCCTTCACAAAACAAGCACTGTCTCATACTGGCCGTTTTAGTGGCTTCTCCCTTGGCCCTGTGGGTGGAGGACTCGCCCTGGGCATAATACGTGCCGACCCTAGTAGGAGGTGGTTTAGGTCTCTCTCTCGAATGCCTGGGGAAGTTGATCGACTTCTCCTTGGTAGGTAATTTCTCCCCCTGACCTACGCTCAGATGAGATATGAGATCCCCCAACCCTTCAACAATTTGTTGTATCGTGAACCTATTCGTCCGATATTTAAAGTGTAACTCATGCACTGTAGTGCTAGCCAGTTTCCTCTGAATCACCTGGCTAAGGACCCATTCTGAATCATCCTCATCATGCAAATCTCTGAAACTATTTGACAAGCTCATAATTTCAATACGGAACTTCTCTAGGCTTTGAAGGTCATGTCGGCAAGCCTCTAGATCCAACAACCGATAAAGTATGGCCACTTTTATCTCTTCAGTGTTGCCAAACATGTCTTCTAATTGGTCTTTGGCATGTTGGTAATTAGTGTCAGTAATCTGGTAGTGCCGGACCTTGAGCTCTGACCGCAAATACTGCAATTTGACGGCATCTGACAAATCGTTCCTGTCATCTATCTGGGCTTTAAACTGATCCCAGAAAGCAATGTACTCGGTTAGGGTTCCGTCAAATGTCGGTAAATTCAACTGGGGCAACCTGGGCAACATATTGACAGGTGTGTGGCTGTTTGTGGTACCTGCGGAGTTCGACACCACCCTTGGAATACTAGCCTTTAATGTACTTAACTAATCTTTGCACGTATTCATCTCCTGTTGACAATCTACATCATCCTTAGTGAATTCGTCCTGAGCCTGCCGAAGACTATCCTGGGATTCACCATCCTCAATAGCCTGTAGCTCATATGCTGAGAATGCTTGTTCGTAGGCTTCCCATTTTCCCCCCAAACGCTTCAAGCAGTCTTGCAAATCATCGCAGTCTACTTTACTGCATTGGCAAGTAGCCTTGCACCCGTTGCGTGTTCTGTTCAGATGCCCTTTGTATGCCGCCACTGATCGTTTTAATTTTGCTAACACTGAACCAGACTCTTCTGAACTCCCATCTGCCATTGTCGAGGTTTAATTAGGAGTGTGACACTAATTGTACTTTACTCAGTCCACCCCACAGCACGAACGGTATTAGGCAAGAATGAACGAGTCTCAAGGCTTCTCAACAATCTTAACAACTCCCTTTATTATATTGACTCTACTCTGAATCGAAATGTACACTGTTAGCTCTCAAATCCCAATCAAAATGTGTATCGATGTGAAAGCTTAACCTAGCAATTTCCTGTACAATGCCAGCAAATAATTACAGGACTTAACCTAGTCTCAGGTACAATTCACAAATCCCACATTAAAATGAGTCAAAGACAATGAAATTCGCACAATAAAAATGCAGTGTACAAATTAAAAAATCACTTGGTTCGCACAAATAAATTCAACAATTCAACTTGTGAAACAGTAAATAAATAATGTATGTAAACAGCTTGGCCTAACTGTGCCCAGCTTACTCAGTCTAGCGTGGATGGTTGGATAAGGTAAATCCTAACCTAACTAGTGTGCTATAGCTTAAGCCTGGCTTTAGAACTCCCTGTAAATAATAACTAGGTTAAATCTGTCCTAGCTACTATAACTGTTGAAAATATTGCACAAGCCTAGCCTAACTGTGGCTACCTTGCAAATCCACTGTAAGTAATTAACACACAAGTCTCCTGGATTACTTGTAATCACTGTAAATAATTAAATTCACAAGCTTCTCTAGCCTACCTGGCCTGCCTGTAAATTACTGAAAATAACAACTTCTGTGTATAGTCAGCTTGGCCTAGCCTCTGTGTTAACTCTGGGCCTGGGTGCTAACTTAACCTAACTCTCTTAAACTGGTTCCTAACTGTGGCCTAGCTATGTTAATTTTAACCTAGCTATTTCACATCACGGTTCAAAGGACCACTTGTGAAAATTTGTCTGGACTGCCTCCAGGTCAGTCGCCTACCCTGGGAAGCTCTGTTGACACCGAGCTCTGAGGTCGGTACCTCAACCTCACAAGTGGTTTATAGGACAGATTTTCATAAATGACTGATGTTGCAAGAAATCTCGCCTGCATGCACGTTTAAAGGACTAAATTGGTGATGTAGAGTCTATTCTGGTCTTCAACCTCCCTAAGCTTAGCCCCTTTGGACTTCCCCTCAGAAACCACGTGCAACCGGGAGCCTTAGTTCCTGCAATATTCAATCGATATTAGTGACCTGCCTGCACCTCAGAAATTCCTGTATCCAAGAGGGTGTGTATCCCCTAGTATAACTATGCAGAAATGGACACTAGCTTCTAGGTTGACAAGAGACAAAGTATGTACTGGTCATGAACTGCCGGCTGCACAAAGGCCTACAGCTGAACTCACTCGCAACTTTCCCCAGACACTGGCCAGAATTCTAAGAAAAGTGGAGGTCTTGTCTTACTGTACGGGCCTGACAGAGGACATCTATGGTACGTCGAGGTGCCTCCACCAGATTTCCCCAGGTCTCATATGTGAAGACACATGGGGGCGCCACCTGCTGATCACGGCACGTGTTGTCCAGATGGTGTCTAGTCTTAGAAGAAGTTCTGGCGTCTTCGAGACCCACGCCTCATCATTCAAACTTGGGCTGCCAGTTCTCCCTAGCTAACTTAACCTAGTGTTTGCCTACATTTGGCCTATTACTACCTATGTTAAGGTCTTAGGTCTACATTATTATTATCTACAGTTGCCTCAATAATCCTAATATTAGTGTACTAACAGTATAAAGTACCTACTTCTTCCCTAAAGGGTAAATCTATCAATTAAGAAGTACCTTCCAATCACCTTCGCCAACACGGGTGAGTGTGTTTGTGTTTTGGGTGGGTGTAAGGGCCCTCGAACAGTATGTTTTTCCCCGTTGGGACTTCTCGGACCGAATAAGTTCCAACAATATGGTAGTATGTCACTGATGTCAGCTAGGCCTGTGTAACTTGTACATGTACGTGTAGTAAATGAAGATATTATTATTATTATTATTATTATTATTATTATTATATTATCATTTTCTCAGTTGTTTGTTGGGTTATCTTATTCAAACTTGGGCAATGTATGATGGAAAGATACTTCTTCACGTTCACCAAAAATGAAAGAAATCAGACCATAAATAGTGGAGTTCACTTCTCAGCCATTAGCGGCCGCTTAGCGGTATATTTTTGTATGGTTGTTATGGTTATATTCTCATTTTTTTCTGTCTCATTTGATAGATTGAAAGATATATTGCAGAAATAGATATAATTTTGATTGCTTTCATGACGAAAAGTACCTTAAAATTGCGCTCACAGTAGCGAAAATGTTCTATTCTTTAGCGAAGCTCAAGAGTAAACAAATGACGTCACCGTCCAATACCTGCCAGTCTAAATTCCAGTACGGAGTCAAGAATGGATTGCCATTATTTATACAATTATTACAATAATGCAGTAGTTTGCATAACAGTAAAGCTTTTATTTTATTTTTTGTGAATAAAAATTCCAAATAGTAAGCAAGAGTAATATAAGAAGGGCCTGTCGCCATGACTAATGAGCAGAGAAAATGTTATTTTAGTGCCAGGAATGTCTGCATTGTTTATTCTGGACCCTATTTTGAAATTGGCATCTGTTGAAATTTGTGTGAAATCGGCCAAATTGCCAATTTCTGACCACTTTAATGGGTAGTTGAAATTAGTGAATGGGCGTTTCTTGTACTCAGTTGACAGACTAGAAGTAAATAAGTTTATTCAGGTATACACAAATACAGTTACATATATTATCATACATAGCAGTGTATGTATAGAGAACCTGGGATAACCCAGAAAAGTCAGACAAAGTGACTTATTTCCAGTACCTGGCTTGGGCTTGCCATATATGATTTTGGTAAATATTTTTTTTTCTCTGTTGTTTGTTGGGCTATCTCATTGAAACTTGGGAAATGTATGATGGAAAGATGCTTCTTAACGTACAACAAAAATAAAAAAGACGGACGATAAATAAGGGAGTTCACTTCTCAGCCATTAGCCGCCTCTTTGCAGTATATTTTCGTATGGTTTTTATGGTTGTATTCTCATTTTTTGGACTCATTTGATAGAATGGAAGATATATTACAGAAATAGACATGATTTTGATTGCTTTCATGACGAAAAGTACCTTGAAATTGAGCTCAAAGTAGCGGAAATGTTCGATTTTTGCCGATGTTCAATGAATTGTGGAAGTCAAGTTGGTTAATTTTATTAAGTGTATTCTAACTTAACCACTCTGTAATTTGGCAAACTCAGTAATCCGGCACACTACAGGTCCCAATGATGCCGGATTTGTGATGGAGGACCTGTAGTGGAAGAAAAACTGCAACTTCGAGCAATTATTTACGATTTATTGTTTTCGCAACACCTACTTGTATGTTTTGTTGCATATCCGTTCACCGAAGACTGCTGGCGGGTACAATCTCAGTGTTTCTGAAAAACAATGAAATTATAACTGGCAAGCATTGATGGGAGACTTAAGTCCATTGTTATTTTAGGTTAATCAGTAATGATTCATGGTATCCTCCTACTGATGGAACATGGCATCAGAAAATTCATTCTACACGGACTCTTCATCCAGGACTTTGTTAATGTTATACTCTGTATTTTATGGAAAATCCGGCCAGTCACCACCATCATGTCGATTCCAACAAAGGTAAACAGGGAGGCGATGGTGCCCCTATAGGTAACAGCTGAGGATTCTGCTTTATGCAGGTCACAGACGTGGCTGTGGCCACACACTACTGACGATCGGACTGGCAACTTTTCCCGTTTACTAACATTTTGTTAAACATGAGAAATGTTATCAAAAGATTTTCTAAATGTGGAAATTGGAAGATTTTACTAATTTATATGTTTATGCAAGCAAATACTGCCAGTAACTGATAACATAATTAATATATAAAAATAAGTTAAAAGTATTTAATATTTTTCAATAATTTTTAATTGAACTCCTAATCACAAAATTTTTTTTAGCCTTAATTCAATTAAAATAAAATGGGGATTCCTCTTTAATTATATGGCAAATATAAAATTCCTATGATGTGTATTGACTGTTAATTTCCATATAATTTTTATGACTATAAAAATTAACATTTCTTAACATTCAAAACACATGGGGTTGCTATCATCCCTTCTCTCTCATCCTCGATATCGGCTACGATGGCCCCAACCTGGACACTTCTTGCATTTTTGTATAGCATTATCTTAGTTTAAGACTTTTTCTTAACATTTAAATGGATAAGACACTAGTGAAATGCCTGAGTTTCTTTATCATAAACATTTCACTAAGCAGTGGCTTTTATTAGTTCAATATAGAGATAAACTGGAGTAGTGGTATATGGGGAAATTAGTTCCTCACTGATGGTGGGCTTTTCTACCCATACCTCTGATACTCTTTCCACATAGCTGTTTATAGCCCCGGCATTATTTTCTGCCCAACAGCGCTACATGACCCTTGTGGGTTTAGAACTTTATTATCTGATAATAATACTGGTGGGTATATCCCTAATTAGCCTTGATCATTCTAAAATCAGTGGCAGGAAAATGAGCACATATATTCTACAAGAAGAGAGATGCTGCAGTTGAAGATGGGACCCGTTAGCAGAGATAAATCATTCCTAAAATGGTCATGCCCATGGAATCTAGTTAGAGATTTATCTCTTCTACAACCATATTGCTAATCACTGACGCAACTCCAGTGGGTCTACCCACCTGCTATACCTCTCGTCTGGTTCCAGTATATAAGTATCTATAGTCCTGTCTCTCCTTAGGATTAATGGTGGCTAGAGGACTGAACACCTTTTAAGATTCAGGGACTACAGTAATTACCTTATTTTCCACTGTTTCCAGTAACTAGTTAGCAAAATTTCTTCCACAACATTATGTGTAAGATATTTTTACCTAGAAATTAGTGTGCAATTTGTGTTAGGCTTTTGCTCCAGCTCCATTTAAACCAGTAAGAAAAGAAAACTTTTATAGTTTGTCTTGACCTTAGGAAATCCTACACTTAACACAAGGATATTGCACATTTAACAAGATGCCTGCAGCTTTTGGTTAAATTTGTTAACATAAATTAAAATAGTTAAGTTCCATAGACAATAAATATGCTCTAAAAATTGTATTTTAAATGTGATTTTTAGCACAAATAAGTCCTGGTATCGTAATGAATAGGTAAGCTGCCACCTGTTTAACGAAAAATATGGTATAAACCTTGGTAATAAATACCGACAAGTTGGTTTAGAAAGACACGTAAGCAAACACTGTAACATATTTATTAGAAAACGTTTCGGTCCTGGGACCGAAGTGATCAAGGTCCCAGGACCGAAACGTTTTCTAATAAATATGTTATAGTGTTTGCTTACGTGTCTTTCTAAACCAACGAAAAATATAACACGCAGTTAACTCCCAAAATCATGAATCACCAAAAAATACATTGATATAATTATTTCATCAGCAACAAGATCTCACCCATTATACACGCGTCGAGGAATTTGGCTTCCATGATGCCCTGGTAGGTAACATCACCATGTTCCTGAACATCTGCTGCAGTTCCTGGCGGAGACGCTGCTGGTGTACGGGGTACTTGGCCAAGAGGAAGGACGCGAAGGCGAGAGTTGAGGCCGTCGTATCGAAGCCAACGATTAAGAACAACACACTCTGAGCCGCAATGGTTTTATCCGTCAGCACTGCAACATTATGACACGTTATTTCCTGTTTTTTATTCAAATTTAATTTATGTTTCATAATTTAAATGTAAACTCAGTTTCCGAATATATTGTACATAGCCAGAAACTTTGACCTTCAACTATAGATTTAAAAGTGTGATTTTAATTAACAATATATTTTTTGTAAAAGAATTATGATTATTTTATTAGTATAATCATAATTCTTTTACAGAAAATATACTGTTTCCTTCATACTGCCCCTTCTCTCCTTTCTGTTAGTGTGACTTTGTAAATGGTCCAAGTCGGACCGAAACGTCTTCGTAAGATCCTCTCTCCCATGTGCGGGTTATTTGTAAATGTGAACATGTGGAAAGTATTTATCTGTCAGAATGTTAAAATCCAGTTGGATAACAATTGTGGACAGAATAATTCACTGGAATCACGGTCTCATCCGATGTTTTTTAAAGCATTGTTCCGAATAAGTAAAGTCATTGGAATAGATGAGGATTGCTATAACTGCAGTTTTTTCTTATGACCAGTTTATTAAAGAATGAGACTCTTTGCTACATTTCCCAAATCTTGCACAAGTGTCTCATTCTTAAACTTGTCTCTTTTCTAAACTATTTACATCATACCTATTTATTAAATTATAATAAGTAAAACACTTTCACCTCTCTCTTACTTGTTACCATTTTCCTTTTGTCCCATCTACTTCTTACTCTAACTATAGCTACAACTAAATAATGATCCTATATATAGTTTCTCCTCTATAAACGTGTACATCCTGGAGCCTACCCATCAACATTTTATCCACCAATACATAATCTAACAAACTACTTTCATTACAAGCTGTATCATACCTAGTATACTTATTTATTCTCTTTTACATATGTATTACTTATTACTAAACCTCTTTCTACACATAGCTCAATTAAAGGCTCCCCATTTTCATTTACCCCTGGCACCTCAAATTTACCTTCTACTCCCTCCACAACATTTTTTACCCACTTTAGCATTGAAATCCCCAACCACAAGAACTCTCACATTTGGTTCAAAACTCCCCACACACTCACTCAACATTTCCCAAAATCTCTCTCTCTCCTTTACACTTCTCTCTTCTCCAGGTGCATAAACGATTACTATAACCCGCTTTTCACACCCAACCCTTATTTTACTCCACATAATCCTTGAATTAATACATTTATATTCCCTATTTTCCTGCCATAACTTATCCTTCAACATTATAGCTACTCCTTCTATAGCTCTAACTCTATTTGAAACCCCTGACCTCATCCCATTTATTTCTCCCTACTGAAACTCTCCCACTTCCTTCAGCTTTGTTTCACTTAAAGCCAGGACATCCAGCTTCTTCTCATTCGTAACATACACAATCATCTCTTTCTTTTCATTCACACAACATCTATGCACATTCAAACATCCCACTATGACGGATTTCTTCCTTTTCTTTTTAGTAGGCTATACGGAAAAAGGGGTTACAAGCCCATTGTTCCAGGCATTTTAGTTGACTTTTACAACACGCATGGCTTATGGGGGAACGATTCTTATTCCACTCCCCCATGGATATAAAAGGAAAAGCAATAAGAACAAGAACTATTAAGGTAAAATCAAAGAAAACTCAGATGAGTGTGTGTAAATACACGTGAACATGTATATGTAGTGTGACCTAAGTGTAAGTGTAAGTAGAAGTAGCAAGACGTACCTGCAATCATGCATGTTTATGAGACAAAAGACCAGCAATCCTACCATCATGTAAAACAATTACAGGCTCTCGTTTTACACTCACTTGGCAGGACAGTATTACCTCCCTGAGCAGGTGCTGTCTACCAACCTACTACTGTAGGAGAGTGGGTGCAGGAGGAAAGAGGAGTGATTGGTGGGATGATTACCTGGTTACCTGGAGGTTATTCCGGGGATCAACGCTCCCGCGGCCAGGTCCATGACCAGGCCTCCCGGTGGATCAGGGCCTGATCAACCAGGCTGTTACTGCTGGCCGCACGCAGTCCAACGTACGAGCCACAGCCCTGCTGATCTGGCACTGACTTTAGGTATCTGTCCAGCTCTCTCTTGAAGGCAGCCAGGGGTTTATTGGTAATTCCCCTAATGCTTGATGGGAGGCTGTTGAACAGTCTTGGGCCCCGGACACTTATGGTGTTTTCTCTTAGTGTACCAATGGCGCCCCTACTTTTAATTGGGGGCATTTTGCATCGCCTGCCCAGTCTTTTACTTTCGCAGGGAGCGATTTCTGTGTGCAGATTTGGGACCATTCCTTCCAGGATTTTCCAAGTGTAGATTATATATCTCTCCCTCCTGTGTTCCAGCGAGTACAACTCAAATGCTTCCAAGCGTTCCCAGTAGTTAAGGTGCTTGACAGAACTTATACGTGCAGTAAAGGATCTCTGTACACTCTCTAGATCTGCAATTTCACCTGCTTTGAATGGAGATGTTAATGTACAGCAGTATTCCAGCCTAGAGAGAACAAGTGATTTGAAAAGGATCATCATTGGCTTGGCATCTCTCGTCTTGAACGTTTTCATTATCCATCCTATCATTTTCTTTGCACTTGTGATCGGGCACTGTTGCGATCCTTGAAAGTGAGATCCTCAGACATTACTACTCCCAGGTCCCTTACATTATTTTTCCGCTCTATTGTATGGCCGGAGTCAGTAGTATACTCTGTTCTAGTTATTATCTCCTCCAGTTTTCCATAACGGAGTAGTTGGAATTTGTCCTCATTGAACATCATATTGTTTTCCGTTGCCCACTGGAAAACTTTGTTTATATCTTCTTGATGAAGTAAAGGGTGTGATAAAAGAGAAAAAGGTAGCTTATGAGAGTTTTACAGAACAGAAGTGTTATAAGAAGAGCAGAGTATATGGAGAATAAAAGAAAGGTGAAGAGAGTGGTGAGAGAGTGCAAAAGGAGAGCAGATGATAGAGTGGAAGAGACACTGTCAAGAAATTTTGATGAAAATAAGAAAAAATTTTAGAGTGAGATAAACAAGTTAAGAAAGCCTAGGGAACGAATGGATTTGTCAGTTAAAAACTGAATAGGGGAGTTAGTAGATGGAGAAATCGAAGTATTGGGTAGATAGCGAGAATATTTTGAGGAACTTTTAAATGTTGATGATGAAAGGGAGGCGGTAATTTCATGTACTGGCCAGGGAGGTATAACATCTTTTATGAGTGAAGAAGAGCAGGATGCGAGTGTGGTGGAGGTACGTGAGGCATTACGTAGAATGAAAGGGGGTAAAGCAGCTGGAACTGACGGGATCATGACAGAAACTTGAAAAGCAGAGGGGGATATAGTGTTGGAGTGGTTGGTATTTTTGTGTAATAAATGTATGAAAGAGAGGAAGGTACCTAGGGATTGGCAGAGAGCATGTATAGTTCCTTTATATAAAGGGAAGGGGGACAAAAGAGACTAAAAATTATAGGGGAATAAGTTTACTGAGCATACAAGGAAAAATGTACGGTAGGGTTATTATTGAAAGAATTAGAGGTAAGACAGAATGAAGGACTGCGGATGAGCAAGGAGGTTTTAGAGTGGGTAGGGGATATGTAGATCAAGTATTTACATTGAAGCATATATGTGAAGAGTATTTAGATATAGAGAAGTATTCATTGCATTTGTGGATTTAGAAGAGGCATATGATAGAGTGGATAGAGGAGCAATGTGGCAGATGTTGCAAGTATATGGAATAGGTAGTAAGTTACTAAATGCTGTAAAGAGTTTTTATGAAGATAGTGAGGCTCAGGTTAGGGTGTGTAGAAGACCGGGAGGTTACTTCCCGGTAAAAGTAGGTCTTAGACAGGGAAGCGTAATGTCACCATGGTTGTTTAATATATTTTAAGATGGGGTTGTAAAAGAAGTAAATACAAAGGTGTTGGGATTAAATTATGGGTAATCAAATACAAAATGAGAGTTGACACAGTTATTTTTTGCTGATGATACTGTGCTTATGGGAGATTCTAAAGAAAAGTCGCAAAGGTTAGTAGACGATTTTGGGAGAGTGTGTAAAGGTAGAAAGTTGAAAGTAAACATATAAAACAGTAAGGTGATGAGGGTATCAAATTATTTAGATAAAGAAAAATAGGATATCAAATTGGAAAGGAGGAGTATGAAAGAAGTGAATGTTTTCAGAAATTTTGGATTTGACGTGTCAGCGGATGGTTATATGAAGAATGAGGTAAACCATAGAATTGATGAAGGAAAAAAGGTGAGTAGTGCGTTGAGGTATAGGTGGAGACAAAAAAAAACATTATCTATGGAGGCAAAGAAGGGAATGTTTGAAAGTATAGTGGTACCAACACTATTAAAAGAACGTGAAGCTTGGGTTGTAAATGCTGCAGTGAGGAGGCAGTTGGAGGCGGTGGAGATGTTCTGTCTAAGAGCAATGTGTGGTGTGAATATTATGCAGAGAATTCGGAGTGTGGAAATTATGAGAAGGTGTGGAGTTAATAAAAGTATTAGTCAGAGGGCTGATGAGGAGTTGTTGAGGTAGTTTGGTCATTTAGAGAGAATGGATTAAAGTAGAATGACATGGAGAAAGTATAAATCTGTAGGGGTAGGAAGGCGGGGTAGGGGTCGTCCTCGAAAAGGTTGGAGGGAGGGGGTAAAGGAGGTTTTGTGGACGAGGGGCTTGGACTTCCAGCAAGTGTGCGTGAGCGTGTTAGATAGGAGTGAATGGAGACAAATGGTATTTCTGACCTGACGAGCTGTTGGAGTGTGAGCAGGTTAATATTTAGTGAAAGGATTCAGGGATACCGGTTATTTTTATTTAGCCGGACTTGAGTCCTGGAAATGGGAAGTACAATGCCTGCACTTTAAAGGAGGGGTTTGAGATATTGGCAGTTTGGAGGGATATATTGTGTATCTTTATACGTATATGCTACTAAACTGTTGTGTTCTGAGCACCTCTGCAAAAACAGTGATTATGTGTGAGTGAGGTGAAAGTATTGAATGATGAAAGTATTTTCTATTGGGGGATTTTCTTTCA